ACCCCGTAACACTTGATGTCAGGTGACCTCTTTCTGACTCCAACCTTCAGTCAGGCTCAGGGGCTTCCAGGGTCCCAGCATCTTTGCTTCCCTCTCATGGCTCTCATTCAGTCTTTTGACAAACATTGCTGAGCACATACTATGTTGTAGGCAACTGTACTGGGTGCTGCAGATATGGTGTTACTTCAGACATACAAGTCCCTGCTGCTGGGAGACCATGTTCTAGTGGGAAAGACAGACTAAACTAGTAGGCAAATAACACCAGATATCGATGCTGTGTAAGGCTTAAAATAGGGTGATTTGATGGACAGTAAAATCAACCATGACCAAAGTATTCCTAGCAGAGAGGCCAACTCATGTCAAAGCCTGAGGTGAGTCTGAGGTGCAGAAAATGGGAGAAATTGTTGAGATTTAGTGCCTGATGAAAGGCAGGTTGCCCAAACAGGGCAGAGTTTGGATTGCATGTGTTTGGGGAAGCCACTAGAGGGCGTTAGGGAGCGTGATTTACATATTTAAGTATGACCCTGCTACCCCACAGAGAAAGGATTTAGGGGACAGCAGATTTCAACAATGGGCCACGGTCACCCTTTTCTCTCTCCACACTACACATGGGCCCCCATGTCCCTAGACCCAGCACAGAATGGGGCTTAGAGTGTGCTTCAGTTTTAAGGAGGACACGGGGGGTGGGGGTGGGGTGGGGGATGATTGCTGAGGAAGGTGAGATCCCTTGGCTGGGGTGGTGAGGAGTAGCTGCGATCCGAAGGGTTTCTCGCCGGGGCCTGCCCTGCCTGTGAGAACCCAGTTGTGCTCTGTGCTGTAGGAGCCTTCTGAGTTTCACATGTTTCTACATTGCTGATGTCATAGTGTGGAGGAAGGCAGAGGGACCAGAGGGGAGACTGGTGTGGTGATCTAGGACAGATGCTAAGGTGTGGATTAGGATGGAGGGAATGGGGGAAAGACGCTAAGAAGGAAGAACTGAAAAGTGAATGGACAGGCTGGGAGACCAGACCCAGAATCACGAATGACCAGAGAGAGGTAAGAGACAGTGAGGAGGGGACGGAGAAGGGAGACTCTGGCCAAGTAGAGACCTCCGCATCCCCTGTGGGCCTGTGTGAGGGAGTGCATGTGAGGGCCTGAACACATGTGCCTTTATACTTCAGGGAACTTGCTGGATACAAATACGCAGAGAATTCTTTGCCCCCACCGGGTCTCACGTGAGGCACAAACCCATGTCTCCATTCTCCCAGCTCAGGACCTGTGACTTCTTTACCCTCACCCCTTACCCACCACACTACCTTTTCTCTCACAGCCTGGCTAAAGGGCGAAGGGAGAACACTCAGCCCCTGCTCTGCCACTTGCTGGCTCTATGACCTTGATTCAGTTACTTGATCTATGTGAGCCTCAGTTTACTCAGCTGCTAACTGAGAAGTGGGAAGACCTAGTGAAGTCACGTTAGCAACAGACCTGACGGCCATGGAGACATATTCAGTGTTCAGGAAATGTGAGTTCACTTCCTTCTTGCACTGGTATGAGGTGAAATTCCTCAGAGGTATTTGCATTGAACAGAGGGGATTCTGAGAGGTTTGGGAGCCAATTGTGGGATTCCAGTCACCAGGATTAGGTAGCCGGGATCTGTTGGAAGAGGGAAATGATCTTACCCATCTTATGCAATGGGAACTACCACCTACTCCGCCTACAAATAGGGCCCCTTCCCAGCCGTATCAGCAGCCCCACTCATGGATGCTCCTGTAGGAGATAGCACCAGGAACAAAGTGGGAAGTATGGGCAGGCATATTGCTTTTGAGAGAGTAATTCAGTGGCAGAGCTGCTGTGGGAGAGGGGCCTCCCTGGGAATGGAGGGGCCCTGCCAAGAGGCTGCAGACAGCTAGGGCTACTGGTGACAGAATTCCTGCTCTTGGTTTGAGACTGAAATCAAGGAGCTCTCAGATGCTTTTGGGTAGGGTGTTTCTAGGTTGGTGACTGGAATCTTTGGGCAGCTTTGGGGTCTCTTGCCTGGGACTGGATCTGGACTTGAGGCCAGTGCTGAGTTTTTACTTCCAAGATTCTCAGATCGGCAAGTTGAGGCATTTGTGATTACCAGACTTGTGATTTTAAATTTCAAGTTTCTACAATGTTGAAGTTTCTAAGATGTTGAATGAAGTTTCTGCTCCCAGGATTCTGAAATATCCCCTGTTGCTGAGGGCAGCTGTACGGGGTAGGAGAGGGCTCTGGTGTGGGGGGCACATTGCAGCCTCTCAGATCCTCAGTCCCTGGTGAGGATACCATGGAACACCTCCAAGTAACCTTTGTCCTTTTTATCAGTGATGGAAGGATTCTGAGTTGAGACATTTTTGGTCCTTTCTTGAGGTCAATGAGAAATAGATTATTTAGGTTGCAATTTCAGTTCTGCCCGTATGCCACATTTCCTGAAATACCTTCAGATCTGTGACTTGAGTTGCTTAAGTGCCTTTGTGCTTCTCCTGAAAATGTCTGCCTCCCAACTCAATTTCTCTCTGTGGTCAGCTCCATTCTCTCCTAATGCTCACCTACTTCTGCACTCATTGTAAGGCATGGCTACCAGCAGCTCCAAGCTCAAGTCCAAGTACAGGAAGACAAACCAGTGAAAAGTACCCTGGAGCCACACAGGCTGATTTTGAATCATGACTCTGGGGGTTTCTGGCAGTGTGACTTTAGACAGGAGAGGAAGGGGCTTCTCCACCACTACTAGTTTGATAAAGCTCAGGGAAATATTTCAATTGGCACTTCCTTCAACCAATCACTGTGTCCCGAGAGGTAGGGTCGAGTAAGAAGATGCACCTCCCATTTATCCAATGGAGCTGGCCAGAAGGGAAGGAGAAAAAGTTCTCTAAAAACAAGTAGGAGTAGGGGGTGTTGTAGCATAGATATGGCCACTTGGCAGGCCTTAAAATAAAGGCATAGTTTCATGAAGTACCCAAATTATGATTTACTTGGTGCACCCTGGCCTATCTCACTGAGAGCCCTCCAACTGCTGTTGACACCCTGAATCTGGGAACTAGTCCCTCATGGCGTCCTCCGGAAGCTGTCAAACAAACTCAGAAAGAGTTTGGAAGCTCTGCTGGAAATAAATGATTAAGATTTATTTAAGGGTCTTTGGGGTTGTAAACTGGAGACACAACTAGGCAATACCCAGAGTGTTCTGAAGAAGAAAGAAAAGCAACGAGTTCTTAGAGTAAAAAGTATGTTTTTGAGAAGAATCAGTTCTGCATTCTTAGCGTCTGGATTGTTCCGAGGTAGTAATCCTCCAGACGACCGGTGGTGTCGATAATGGATGTCAGGTGGTTTGAATATGTGAGCATTCTTTCTCTAGTCCTTCAAGGGGGTAACCAGAGGGTTATGTACGTATGATGTACATCCAGGCATTGATGCAGGACTGGAAGGTTCAAAAGTTTAAGTTCCCAGGCTAGATAAAACAAGAATAGTTTTCTCAACCTACCTGATTTTAGTAATTTAGCAGCTTCCGTATAGTGACTCCATTTAATTTCTATACTCCATTCCTTGGGGGCCTGTGCCACCCACAACTCTCCTGAGACTGTGGCTTTGCCAGCCCCAGCCCCATTCTCTTCCTGACTACCACCACCACCCTGGACTGGAGGGCGTATGCGGGAATGGTCCCTGAGGCTCTTTGCTTTATCATCCCATCCCAAGGGTGAGAGAGACTCTTCTCCTAATTCCCTACCAGCTTGACTAAGATGTGGCTGTAACTTTTGAGGTACCGTAGGAAGCAGAGAAGAGTAACAGAAGATTTTCATGATTCCCTCCCTCACCAAGCCCCTCAGCTGTCCTGGCAGGAGCCTTCCTGCAGAACTTCCACTTCTGGGAAGGCCCAATATATGTCTTCCAGCGTCCTCCTTCCTAGAAGAGAGGAGGAAATTGCTCTCCTCACCCAAGACTGCCAAAGCCTTCCTTTCTTTTCCCAAGATCAGCCTTTCTCAGGTGAACAGCAGTGCAGAAATCTGTTGCTTTCAGGTAAAATCCTTCCCCCGCCCAACTAAGTGTCTGGTTTTGCCCCATGTCCCCCAACAGGACAATTATATTAAGACTTACGACACTTTGTGGGACATCAGATGCCCTGTCCAGGGAGACCTGGGCCAGACACTCCATTCATTTTGACTCCTTTTTTCCCCCATGAGATGAAGTCTGTCCCTGCTCGTTCCTTCCCACAGCCTCAAGTGTCTCTCCTATTCCCTCACAGAATGAGCTCTGGCAAGTACCCACGCCTGTAAGAATTCAGCTCCAGCTAAGAAATACCCTCCCCCAGATAGAGCATCTAAGCCTCAGACTGAAGGTGACTCTGCTGTCTTGCCAAGAAAATAGGTGGGTGGGTATTTCCTTTATAGCTAGGTGACTGAAGGGCACATTCAAGCACTGGCCCTGAGCATAGGACAAGGCCAGTCAAAGGGGGATGACATCTCCACAAGCTCAGTGCACAGCACTGCACTCAAATCATCACCCTTCTCCTCCTTCGCTTGCCACTGATCCCTCTGGCCCCAGCCTCCGTCCCCTGGACAACCTCTGAACTGGGCCCTTGCCTCTAGAACACCGCCATCCCCTGCCACCCTGCTGTCTCTGTGATCTGTAAGAACAAGGAGATCTGCCCTTGACTGTGTGCCGACTTGACGAGCATCATCTCCTTCAAGCTACCACAGCTCTGTCCGAGGAGATCTTCTCTCCAGTTCTGACGAGGAAATCAGGGCCTCCTCATGTTTTCTCAAATGCATAGTCACTGAGGTGGTTTTTAAAATTTTTTTTTTTGTACTAATTTTATATTCTGTTTAAAAAATATATATTTTCCCATCTTCTAGAAAACTCATTCATGCAGCAAACATTGACTGAGTACCTACTATGTGCCAGGCACTGTTCTGAGCACTGGAAATATATTAGAGAACAAAACTGAAAAAAAAAAAAAATCCCTATCCTTGTGGAGTGTAGAATTTAATGGGGAGAGACAGAGAATAAATGAATAATAAAAATATACAGGACGTCAGATATCAAGTGCTATGTATGGAAAAAATAATGCAGGGAAAGGAATTCAGAGTATGAGGGAGAGGGTTCCATTTTAAAGAGAATGGTCAGGGAAACCTTCACAGAGAAGGTGAAATTTGAGCTGTGATCTGAAGGAGGCGAGGGGGTAATCAAGTGAGTGTCTGTGGGAAGAGCATCTCGGGCAGAGGGAACAGCAGATGCGAAGGGCCTGAGGTGGGGGTGTGCTAATGTCTTTGGAGAAGAGCAAGGAGGCCAGTGTGGCTGAATATGAGAGAGAAGAAAGGGAGGTGATGCCAGAATGATATATGGGGGTGCAGGTCATGCAGGAACTTGTGGCCATGTAAAGGCCTTAGCTTGTGTATTCAGCATCATGGGGAGCCAGTGCAGGATTCTGAACAGAAGAGTAACGTGAGCTGATTCAATGGGTCTGGTGCTGTGTGGAGAAAAGACAATAAGGGGACAGGGGTAGAAGCAGAGAAACTAGTTAGGAGACCATGCAATAATCCAGGCAAATAAATTCTCTATAAACACAATTTAAATATCTGCAGAATAGTTTACCCTACAGATTCACTATAATTCATTGAACAGATTCCTTATGGATGAGCATTTAGCTTATTTCTAGCTCTGTCTTTATTATAGAAAACACTCTGATAACATCTTTGTACCATAAATCTCCGTGTCTGTGATTATTTCTTCAGACAAGTTTGCTGCCTGGGTGTCACTTTTCTAAGGTTTTCGATCCATAACTCCAACTGACCTTGCAAAAGAGGGCGCCACTTTCTACTCCCACCAGCAGTGTGTGACGTAGCACATCTGCCCTGAAGCTATGTAGTAGGTGTCCAATGGATGTTGCGCTGTCCTTGTGCTCATGGCCAGGTCTGAGTGCACATCTTAGGGGAAATCCCTCTTTTCTGAATAACCTGGCATGGTTCCAAAACCCTTTCAGGTCCATTTGCTTATTTAAAGCTCACAAAAATCCTGCTGTCCCTGCTTTATAGATGAGGAAACTGAAGCCCAAAGAATAACGCTTTGTTCCAAATGCTTTATGTGTATCACCTCATTTAATCCTTGCAACAAACCAGTGAGGTTGGTGCCATCAACATCCCCATTTCACAGATGCAGTCACTGGTGCAGGGTGTCAGAGCTGGGATGCAAGCCCTGGCTTGCAAAGCTGCTCTCTCAACCACTCCCTTGCCCTGCCTCAAGCTAGTGACTCGCTTGGGGCTTCATAGCTAGAATGTGGTAGGGCCAGGAGTCCAGCCAGATCCTGGCTCTGCAGCCTGAGTTTTAAGCCCCAGCAGGATGCCACTCAATACCAGAAACCCCTCATTAGATCTCTGCCTCTTCTTTCTAGTCAAACTGTTCTTGGTTTCTTGTACCTGACTGGGGCTCCTTCCTTAGACCCACCCTTGGCAGCTTTTGGAGACCAGACTTTGGTAAAAGAGCTCAGATCCCAGAACTGAGAACATCAGAGCAAGGAAGGCCCTTGAACTCCTGGTCCAACCTTTTCTCCTTTTTACATTGGTCAGGAAGATGGGAACCAAGGGCCAAAGTGGGGCAGTAACTTGCCCAAGGTTCCACAGCTGGTGGGGATCAGAGTCCATGGGGCAGAAGGAGGCCAGCCCAAGGAGCTGGCCTAGGTCCTTCCTAAGGGCTCCTCTCCAGGGAATATTTAAGAACCATGACTGTTACAACCCTCTTCAAGGGCCCTTTGCTGATGGGCCCGTTTACTTGTGAATTATTAATGAATCCAAGCCTGTAACCTGCTGGGCGGGGCTCGCTCACTTAAAAACAACCTGCTTTATGGGTAAAAGGGCTCTGGAGTCTAAGAGGGGTAGTTCTGGGATCCAGGACTCAGGATGCTCTGGTAGAGACAGGGGGCGTGGGGGCAAGGATGCTTCATGCCAGGGAAAGGACTGGAGGAGGGGACTGAGAAGGGGAAATGGGACGAGAGGTCAAGGAGTCATGCTTAATAAGCCTCAGAGTGTCCCTGAGAGACTGGGACTTTTATCCCAGGTTTACAGATGGGAAAGGCTGAGGTTCAGAGAAGAGGCAGCACTGACTTCACTGAGCTTAAGCTCTTTCAGCAACAATCGCATCACTTTCACATGCTCACACCCCCATTTCTGTGACCCCTATATCCATACACTTTTCCTATAGGATAAAGATTCAAGACCTGCCCTTATGCTATGGCTAGACCCGAGTTCAAGTCATACTTGGTCCAAGCCTAGTTTTCCTCATCTATAGGATGGGAGAGAAAGCTACTATGGAGCTTTCTGGAGAATTTTGAGGAGGTTTTACTAAACAGATATTTATTGAGGGCCTTCTTAAGCTGACAGGTAGTACAGGTGAAAGCAGTCCATGAGGTCTTCACGGCCACTGAAATATTCGGTGAGCCCAGTGATATGTTCTTGCAGGTTGGGGAGAAAATGAGGGGGGAAAGCAGCCCTGGTATCTCCCAGGCACAAAGCACCAGGAAACAGGTCCCCAGGAAGGGGAGGAAGGAATCTGGGACTCATGATGCTCTCCTGTCGGCTCAAGGTGGAGATGGGCAGGGGACCTGAGCAGGGTCATCTAGATTGGGAGGTGGAAATAATGGTGACTCATAGGCTCCCCAGGATTGGGACTGGGCCAGAGCTCCTGGGGGCTAGAAACTGCTTGGTGGAGCCTTTTGAGGGATGGGCCACTTGGATGCTCTGACTCACCATGTGAGTGGCGCCAGCATCACTGCCAGTGTTGTGGTGTGGGGAGAGTTCCAGCTCCAAAGACAGATTGGCTGCTTATCTTGCTGAGCCTCAGTTGTCATCTGTAAAAGGAGGGGAATAATAGCATCTACCTCACCACCACTGCCGCCACCATCAGAGCACCTACACAGCACTGTGCTACATGCCATGCACTATTCTGCACATTTTACATACACGAATCTTGATCCTCATGGCACTTTGTAATAGGCAATATTATTATTTCTATTTTATTGATGAGGAAACTGAGGCTCAGGAAGGTGGTTAAAAGTGAGCATTAAATGAGATGTTTGTTTTACACTTAACATCTGTGGCACATAATAAGCCTTTGATGAACATCAGTCATTGTAATCATTACTCTGAGGGAAATGGTAAAGTGCTGGGCTCAGTGTTAGTGTTTAGTGATTAATCAGGCACTAACACAGAGATGTCTGGCCAGGCCTGCCCTCCAGAAGCTCCCAGTCTGATGGCAGAGACAGTCACGTACAAACCTCACTCCACCACTACCAAAAACAGACCGTATCAGCCCAGGATGATAAAGGGGCTCGGGCAATGTGTGCCCAGGAGGCCTCTGACACAGCCAGGGTGGGAGGGTTTCCTGGAAGAGGCAGCTTCTGAACTGAAACCTGCAGGGTGAGTGGGAGTTTTGGCATATGGCAGGTTCTTAAAAAGTGTTGGTCAAATGGAGTAAAGATTTACCTTGAAGTTAATGTAGCATAAAGCTTCAGAACCTGGTCCCTCCCAAGGTTCTAGGAGGACCCTGGTAATTTTACATTGGTAAATTTGTTGTTGTTGTTGTTTTTTAAAGAAGCATTTTAATTGCAATTTCCTGGATTGACCGGTAGTTAAATGAATAAATAATAAGTGACAAAGGAGAAAGGTGTGTTCCAGGCAGAGATAACGGCATGTGCAAATACCTAGAGATTTGAAAGTGCATAGCCCCCAGCCTCATCACTCAGGTTACTGTTTACAAACGTTGCTGATCTTCTCACCAGCTCTGTGAATTCCAGCTGTCACGAGGGTGCTTTTGCCCACCTCCATGCTTTAATCCATGCTGTTCTCCCATATGGTGCACCCTTTCCATGACTTCATTGTATATGCATAATATAAACTTTACGGCTCAACTGTGTACCCACCTTCCCCAGACCCCTCCAGCCTATGTAGCATTTTCCCTTATCTGGATTTCTATAGTTGATGGTGAATTGTTATCATAGCCTATTCCTTATAGTTAATTATCTTTTCTACGCCTATATCTGAGAATCCCAGAGGTGGGATGATCCTTGCAAGTGAGCATCTGGCCTCTGCTCACCTGTGGGTAGGAAAAGAACTCACTACCTTTCCAGGTAGGCTATTTAGATCGAAACAGTAATCCCCTAAAGCTCTCCCCTCTGCCACCAGGTCCTATCTGCCTGGTTCTCCAGGGACCTAGTCTAAGCTCTTTTCCCACCTGCTTCTGCAAGTTCCTCCTGTTTCCTCTTCTAACATCCTGGAGCTCAGAGCTAATCCATGGGCACTGGAGTCCCTCCTCCTTCTGTCCCCTGCCTTTGTGAAGGGACAGCTCTAATGGCAGCCACGTGCTCTGATGAGTCATGGTTAAGAGCATTGGGCCCTAGGGGTGGTGGCTAGTTAACTCCTCATGGGCCAGTGGTTCTTTCTGCCAGGAGACCAGATGGGCTTCACCCTTGGACCTAGACATACCTCAGGGCTGGGCACACAATGGGCAACCAAGGAGTGTTATAGATGATGCCCACATAGGCACTGGGTATTCAGGAGGAAGGGGACTAAGGGGGGCAAGTGGTAAGAGTGTAAGCTTTGAGTTCCAATCACAACTTGCCATTTACTGGGTGAGTGGCCTTGAGCAAGTCATATGAACTCTGTGCCTCAGTTTCTCCATCTGTAAAATGTCATTTACGGGGATTATCGAGAAGGCAAGTGTGACCTGCTGGTTTGCAGGGAGTAGTAAACTGCCACGTTATTTTCTGCTTTTTTTTGTCTCCTCAAACACAGTCACACAGTGGCAAGTGGGTGGGATTAAAATCCAAGCCTTACTCTGGAGGCCGGGACTTTCTCTGCCTGAATGCCCCCCACCAATGAATGCAGTAGGATGATGAAGGGCTCAGGTGGGGGCCACTGCGAGGCAGGAGCAGTGGAGGAGGGGAGAGTGACAGGCAAGTGGACCTCAGATCTAGCACAGAAGAACTTTCTGGCCCCAAATAGGTGGGGCTGTGTGAGGAAGGAGCGAGCTCCGGGTCCCTGGGGGCTGCGCACATAGGGTCCTGGGGCATGGGCCGCCGGGGGCTCTCACCTGTCGGAGCCGAGAGTTGGGGCGCAATCCGCATGCGGGTGGCGACTGTGGCTCCACTGCGCG